CACCTTAGCCAAATACATTTTCACAATTCCTGACATTTAATCCTAGTAAAAATTCCCTGTTTTAGGTCAGTTAGGATTACCACTTTATTTTAAAAATGTGAAATGTCAGAATAATAGTAGAGAGAATTATTTATTACAGCTTTTATTTCTTTCATCACATTCCCAGTGGGTCAGAAGTTTACATACACTCAATTAGTATTTGGTAACATTGCCTTTAAATTGTTTAACTTGGGTCAAACGTTTCGCGTAGCCTTCCACAAGCTTCCCACAATAAGTTGGGTGAATTTTGGCCCATTCCTTCTGACAGAGCTGGTGTAACTGAGTTCGGTTTGTAGGCCTCCTTGCTCGCACACGCCTTTTCAGTTCTGCCCACAAATGTTCTATAGGATTGAGGTCAGGGCTTTGTGATGGCCACTCCAATACCTTGACTTTGTTGTCCTTAAGCCATTTTGCCACAACTTTGGAAGTATGCTTGGGGTCATTGTCCATTTGGAAGACCCATTTGCGACCAAACTTTAACTTCCTGACTGATGTCTTGATGTTGCTTCAATATATCCACATAATTTTCCTTCCTCATGATGCCATCTATTTTGTGAAGTGCACCAGTCCCTCCTGCAGCAAAGCACCTCCACAGCATGATGCTGCCACCCCCGTGCTTCATGGTTGGGATGGTGTTCTTCGGCTTGCAAGCATCCCCCTTTTTCCTCCAAACATAACAATGGTCATTATGGCCAAACAGTTCTATTTTTGTTTCATCAGACCAGAGGACATTTCTCCAAAAAGTAAGACCTTTGTCCCCATGTGCAGTTGCAAACCGTAGTCTGGCTTTTTAATGGTGGTTTTGGAGCAGTGGCTTCTTCCTTGCTGAGCGGCCTTTCAGGTTATGTCGATATAGGACTCGTTTTACTGTGGATATAGATACTTTTGTACCTGTTTCCTCCAGCATCTTCACAAGGTCCTTTGCTGTTGTTCTGGGATTGATTTGCACTTTCCGCACCAAAGTACGTTCATCTCTAGGAGACAGAACGCGTCTCCTTCCTGAGCGGTATGACGGCTGCGTGGTCCCAATGTGTTTATACTTGCGTACTATTGTTTGTACAGATGAACGTGGTACCTTCAGGCGTTTGGAAATTGCTCCCAAGGATGAACCAGACTTGTGGAGGTCTACAATTTTATTGGCTGATTTCTTTTGATTTTCCCATGATGTCAAGCAAAAGGCACTGAGTTTGAAGGTAGGCCTTGAAATACATCCACAGGTACACCTCCAGTTGACTCAAATTATGTCAATTAGCCTATCAGAAGCTTCTAAAGGAAGCTGTTTAAACGCACTGTCAACTTAGTGTATGTAAACTTCTGACCCACTGGAATTGTGATACAGTGAATTATAAGTGAAATAATCTGTCTGTAAACAAATGTTGGAAAAATTACTTGTGTCATGCACAAAGTAGATGTCCTAACAGACTTGCCAAAACTATAGTTTGTTAACAAGAAATTTGTTGAGTGGTTGAAAAACAAGGTTTAATGACTCCAACCTAAGTGTATGTAAACTTCCGACTTCAACTGTATCGGAGTTCGAGCATAATCGAGGAAGAAAGAGACGGCGAAAGTAGATCAAACCAAAAATGAGCTTGGCAGAGGAGTGGAAAAATCTAAATGTCAGTGTGGTGTTTAGGTAGTTGTTTACTTTTCTGTTTTGGTGTGTGTCTGGAAAGGAAATGCAAAAGAGGAGTGAAACTGATAGCTATGCTGTGTTGTGGTCCTCTGTAGCTCAGCTGGTAGAGCATGGCGCTTGTAACGCCAAGGTAGTGGGTTCGATCCCCGGGACCACCCATACACAAAAAATGTATGCACGCATGACTGTAAGTCGCTTTGGATAAAAGCGTCTGCTAAATGGCATATTATTATTATTATTATTATTGTCGTTGATCGTGCAGTGGGTTACCCGCCCTGAGACCTGAAGTAGTGTCGCCATCACCCCGACCAAGTCCATCCCACTGGGTACACCACGTAATTTAAACATGGACATTTTGGTCATATTTGATTGAGAAATTGATCAATGAGATTTCAACCACCCACACAGTCAGAAGTTTGTTGAATGCCCAATGTGTTATCTCTATCCTTTCAACCACAACTAAAAGCACAACCAAATTCCAATGGAAAAACAAGACTGGATATGTGTTATCACTGTGCTTCATCTAATAGCACAACCAAATGACCTGGATTGCAGTTGAGATTACATAAAAAATACATAGTGCAAGTGATCAATGCTGTTCAGATTATTACAGCAATTGTGAAGATCGCCACAGACCTGCGACCTTTGCATGCTATCTTGAACATGCATGCTTTCTATGATTACATAAGAATACTTTTATTTTTACAGTAGGCAAACCTCAATGTGGCCATGGAAATGTTACTCATCTTAAGGTTGATAAACACTGTTACATTAGGCTATTTCCTGAATTACAAAAATATTATTGAATTGTATTTGGTTGACAATGCAACCAAATATCAACATTTAAAGGATATCTATTGCTTGGATAGTTTAAAAAATAATATACAGTGCATTCAGAAAGTATTCAGACACCTTTAATTTTTCCACATTTTGTTACGTTACAGCCTTATTCTAAAATTGATTAAATACATGTTTTTCCCTCATCAAATAATAAAATGTCACTCTGTGATCAGAGTCACTGACTCGATAATGCCAAAGCGAACCAGGTTTTTATAAATCTTTGCAAATTTACAAAATATAAAAAACAGAAATACCTTATTTACATAAGTATTCAGACCCTTTGCTATGAGACTTGAAATTGAGCTCAGGTGCATCCTGTTTCCATTGATCATCCTTGAGATGTTTCGACAATTTGATTGGAGTCCTCCTGTGGTAAATTCAATTGATTGGACATGATTTAGAAAGTCACACACCTGTCTATATAAGGTCCCACAATTGAAAATGTAAATCAGCACAAAAACCAAGCTATGAGGTCGAAGGAATTGTCTGTAGAGCTCAGAGACAGGATTGTGTTGACGCACAGATCTGGGGAAGGGTACCAAAAAATGTCTGCAGCATTGAAGGTCCCCAAGAACACAGTAGCCTCCATCATTCTTCAATGGAAGAAGTTTGGAACCACCAAGACTCTTCCTAGAGTAGGCCGCCCAGCCAAACTGAGCAATCGGGGGAGAATGGCATTGGTCAGGGAGGTGACCAAGAACCCAATGGTCACTCTGACAGAGTTCCTCTGTGAAGATGGGAGAACATTCCAGAAGGACAACCATTTCTGCAGCACTCCACCAATCAGGCCTTTTATGGTAGAGTGGTCAGACGGAAGCCACTCCTCAGTAAAAGGCACATGACAGCCCACTTGGAGTTTGCCAAAAGGCACCTAAAGGACTCTCAGACCATGAGAAACAATATTCTCTGGTCTGAATGCCAAGCGTCTGGAGGAAACCTGGCACCATCCCTACGGTGAAGCATGGTGGTGGCAGCATCATGCTGTGGGGATGTTTTTCAGCGGCAGGGACTGGGAGACTAATCAGGATCGAGGGAAAGATGAACGGAGCAAAGTACAGAGAGAGCATTGATGAAATCCTGCCTCAGAGCGCTCAGGACCTCAGACTGGACCTTCCAACAGGACAACGACCCTAAGCACACATCCAAGACAGCGCAGGAGTGGCTTCGGGACAAGTCTCTGAATGTCCTTGAGTGGCCCAGCCAGAGCCCGGACTTGAACCAGATCGAACATCTCTGGAGAGACCTGAAAGTAGCTGAGGATCTGCAGAGAAGAATGGGAGAAACTCCCCAAATACAGTTGTGCCAAGCTTGTAGCGTCATACCCAAGAAGACTCGAGGCTGTAATCGCTGCCAAAGGTGTTTCAACAAAGTACTGAGTAAAGGGTCTGAATACTTATGTAAATGTGATATTTCCATTTTTTATTTTTTAATAAATGTGCAAACATTTCTAAAAAAGGTTTTTGCTTTGTCATTATGAGGATTATCTAGATTGATGTGGGGAAAAAACGAGTTAATGTGTGTAAAGATAAGGCTGTAACGTAATAAAATTAGGAAAAAGTCAAGGTGTCTGAATACTTTCCGAATGCACTGTATGTACATATTAAACAATTGCTATTAATTAAACAATGTTAACATTTCTTTTCATGTAAATCCAGTCTCATTTTTGTTGTTGTTATTTAAAAATGCTATCTAGTTCACTGGAACAGCAATGAGTAGTTATAAACCACCCCATGTAAAATCACATTCCCTGCTAAACTGTGTCATCAGTGTTCATCCACATAAAAAAAAACGATACTATACTGTATGCATAATCTTAGGTGGCTAAATAAAACAAGTAGCTACCTTGCTACAGATAACTTTTTATCAAGTAGAGATCCTCCATACTCAGTATTGTGACATTGAAACCCAGATCTTTTTATGGGACGATTATTAAACCCTGATAATGTCATGCTGCCCCTCACACGGTTGTCTTCAGTTTAAAGGGGCAGTCCATCCAGGTATCATACCCTGTATGTCTTTCTTTTTGTCATCTTCTGAACATGAAACAGTATATTAAGTAATCCTCTTAAGGTAATGATCTACTTCAATTCAGATTTCTTTGGTGGACCACCCGTTTAAGTTATTTCAAACTGCCTATTCAATTCTTTGATATAAAAAAGACATTGTCAGCATCCACTTTCAGTTTTTTTCTACCACAGTGTAAGATAGAAATGCATGTTAAATTAAAACCATAGAACTTGAGTTACTAGAATGGACATTCACATTCAAGTCAATGTTCTGTGATAGGTGTACAGGCGACCATATTGAGTGTACCCACTGTCAAGTTGCCAGTGAGATTTTTTTTCTATGTTCTAGTTATTCTATATCTATGGTTAAAACAGCCCATTAAATGGTAATTTTAGGAAGTGGAATAGAAACCATTTGTCACCACTGACACAAGTCATTGTTGATCTCACTGTTATAGGGGAAAGGGGAAAGGGCTGTTGCCATGGTGCTGAAGGAGCTTCCGGGTAAAAAGGCATCCTCAGAAGGAAATCCCCTCCTCACCGTGACAACCAAGGTGGGCATGATGACCACCGACAGGAAGCAGCAATCAAGCACTTCCTGGTTTGGTATACTGTACACAACTGTGCTTTTTTGTTTCGATTTCTTTGCGTAGCAGACACTGCTAGCCAAAGTAACTCACATGGCTTGGAATTCTGCACACATTTTTATATACAGCCTGACAGTGAACCAATTCAGGTTAAATGCAGTGCCAGGGGCAACACATCAGTTATATGCCCCACTGGGATTTGAACTACCAACATGTCACCAATGATGTTCCTATTTACTTGGCTTGCTGCTGGCTGCCTGTGAAGGTATTTTTGCAAGCTAGAGCTAAAGCCACATTTTTTTAATTTCACCTTTATTTAACCAGGTAAGCCAGTTGAGAACAAGTTCTCATTTACAACTGCGACCATATAGGCCCTTTCCAACAATCAACAATAAAAAGAGAATAATATCAAATCTGTTTCGCAGCTGCACCTTTCTATTTCCGCAAACAAACTGCTACATGCACTCAAGGCCTTATAAAAAGATTGGTATTGTCAATTTATATTACTGTTCTAAAACGATGTATGATATTTTCACATGTTAATTTTAAATCCATGAAATAACCTGGGGTGAAATTACTTAATGTGTAATATTTTTTACATTAAAACTCAACCACCCACAGGGGCCTTCTGAGTGGTGCAGCGATCTAAGGCACTGCATTGCAGTGTGTCAAGAAGTAGTGCGGCTTGGCGGGGTCGTGTTTCGGAGGACGCATGGCTCTCGACCTTCGCCTCTCCCGAGTCCGTACGGGAGTCGCAGCGATGGGACAAGACTGTAACTACTAATTGGATATCATGAAATTGGGGATAAAAAAAGTGGTAAAAGTACCAAAACATAAAAAATATTAATAAATAAACATAAAAAAATTCTAAATCTAAATCAACCACCCCCAATTGAATATACTGTATCATTTGTTGTAATACAAAACATAATCTTACACTTTTCCTGTATTAACATTGCCAAAAATGTCCTTATGCAGACTGATTTCAACAGTTTAATTCAAAATGAGATTTCTGTCATAACTTGGGGTGGCAAAATGAAATGTAATTTACACGCCAAACGTAGAAGCTGCTTAGCTTTTCTTTTCTGCTTACTCTCTCTTTCTAGTGTTACAGGACTGCACAGGATTACATTTAGAATTCAATTAATCCAAGCAATCTTGTTTTTGTTGGATATGATTTTGCATGTGTATGAAATGGGCTTTAATGCAGCATTATATTTTTGTGAATATGCTGTATTTGCAAAACTGATCTCTCTTAGTTATCCCACAATGCCATATTTGTTACCCCAGAAATTGAGCTTTTTGTTTATTCTATTTTGGCTCATCAATATATTCTACTATGCACTAAAATAGGCTTTTGGTGTTAGTAGTTTGTTTTATTGAAATGCTGATGGTAGAAATGTATGTGCTTGTTGCCCTCCAATAACTGTCTCAAAGCACACTGAATGCACTGTGTTTAGTGGTCACAGTGATGAGGAGTATGTGTGTGCCTGTGCATGTGTTTGTTGTTTCGCCCCTTACATTTACGGGGGGCGACAGGTAGCTTAGTGGTTAAGAGCGTTGTGCCAGTAACTGAAAGGTCGCTGGTTCTAATCCCTGAGCCGACTAGGTGAAAAATCTGTCGATGTGCCCTTGAGCAAGGCACTTAACCCTAATTGCTCCTGTAAGTTGCTTTGGATAAGAGCGTCTGCTAAATGACTAAAATGTAAATGTAATTTCCGTTAGTTCTACAGTATATTTTCCTTAATATGAGTCATTGACCTATGTATAGCCTATATACAGGTAATTGCCAAAATAAAGGAAACACTTCTGGCGGCTCTGTTATGGTGTGAGGTGCATTTTCCTGGCATGGTTTAGGTCCACTCAACCCCTTAGAGGGCAAGGTAAACGCCGATAAATGCACAGCCATTCTGAGTGATCACCTACAGCCTATGGTGAATCATTTCTATGCTGATGGTAGTGGTCTCTTCCAGGATGACAATGCCCCCATCCACAGGGCATGAGTGGTTATTGAATGGTTTGATGAGCATGAAAACAATGTAAACTATATGCCATGGCCATCTCAGTCACCAGATCTCAACCCAATTGAACAGTTATGGGAGATTCTGGAGCGGCGCCTGAGACAGCGTTTTACACCACCATCAACAAAACACAAAATTATGGAATTTCTCATGGAAGAATGGTGTGACATATGTGACACTTCCACCATACAACAGGACCTTAACCAACTAGCCAACTGGTCAGAACAAAACAAGATGAAGCTCAACCCAACAAAGTGCAAAGTCACGTACACCTGTTTTAGCCACAATCCTGACCCACCTCCGCCATTATCCATCTCCGTTCACACACTTGAGGTGTCCAGCACCAAAGTGCTCGGCGTGACATTCCAAGTCAATCTAAAATGGAACACGCACATCTCCGACATTACCAACAAAGGTGATGATGAACTATCTTCGCCACTTTAACCTCCCCCCAAAGACCTTCTGACAGTCTACACCTGTTTTGTCTGTCGAGTGCTCGAGTACGCCAGCTGTATGGCACCCAGGTCTCACAGCCCACCAACACAACCAACTTGAGAAGATCCAATGACGTGCAACCAAAATCTACGTAGGCCTATGTATGCTGCAATTCAGCTTTTAGCTGCAAATGTGTACAATTCAAAATAAACTTTAAGTATATATAATGGAGTCGCATCCCTCCAATAGAGTTCCAGATACTTCTACAATCTATCCCAAGGCGCACTGAAGCTGTTCTGGTGGCCCAATGCACTATTAAGACACTTTATGTTGGTTTTTCCTTTTATTTTGGCAGTTACCTGTATTGATACTGTACTAGATATCTAAATACCCACATGAGAAAATACCATAGTATACTATGGTATAAATACTATAGTTTTCACTATTCAAGTGTTTTTGCAGACTTTACTGTAGTATTCACTGTGGTGTTTTTGTGCACATGACTGTAGTATACTGTAGTATTTACACTTTACTATAGTTTAAATACTGTAGTATTTTATTTTTAGTGTATATACAATAGTAATTACTGTAATGTTTTTGTGGACTGTAATATACTGTAGTGTTTTTGCGGACATTACTGTAGTATTTACTATAGTGTTTTTGTTTTCTTGACTTTGACATAGAAGTGTGGGCTTTCTACATGAGGAAACCTACTGGACAAGTACTAAAAGAGCTAATTTAGGACTGGGGTCTGAACGGATAGTTCAGAGCTTCTACTCTTTTCTATAACCTGTAGGGAACACAATATATGGTCTATCCTTGGCATGTAGGTTATTTCACTTATGGGTGGCACACATTGCGATATGTGGGAGGGGAATAGGCAGGGTATATACAAGTTAAATACTGTAGTATTACTATAGTTAAAAAACGGTTGTGTTTTTGCGGACTGTAGTGTTTTTGCAGTCATTACTATAATATTAACTACAGTGTTTTTTGTTGTTGTTGCTAATACTGTAATATTTAGTATAGTATTCTACAGTGTACTACACAATTCTATAGTAAGTACTACTTGTGATTGAGGGATACTACAGTATGTACTATATTTTCTACTGTATACTACAGTTTACTACAGAATTCTATAGTAAATACTGTTTTTTTTTTTGCGGGTAACTGGAGGACCAAGTGCTCTATGATCGATGGAAGCTCCAATGTTGGTGGAATTGGAGCCTTAAGCCAGTATTAAATCCATTCCAGAAAGTGGCTTTCCATCCATCAATCAATCAATCAAATGTATTTATGAAGCCCTTTTTCTTAACCTGAGCAATGACGCTTTCCTTCCAATAACGCAACATTCCTTCCTCCATAGTAATTCACTCGTATATGCTGCACCTCATCATCCACTTCAAGTAAATGTGGGTACCAGGGTTGTGGTCAATTCCATTTAAATACGCTTAGAATGTCAAAAAGTTAACATTGCTGGAATTACCTTGCCGTTTTGGAGACAGTGATGCGTTTGCTAGCAAAGAGATTTGCGGTGGCTAATTAACTGGAAATAAGTGAATTGTTTCGCCCCACAGCTATTCAAGATAATTAGTGAGCCAGCTAAAATGGTTAACAATAGTTAGCAATCACTTCTCCACCTATTTTGCTAGCTACACTGTGCCTGCCGTGTCAATAAGGTCTCCAAAAATGACGTGCTGTCTCCAGTTTTGTTTACACTTTGCCATTTTGACACTGTGTATCCACTTTCTATGCGCATTCAGTCAAATCCATTGTTGTCCTCATTGAAAAAAATTGAATTGACTGCATTTAAATGGAATTAACCCCGACCCTGGTGACGTATTGTCTCCGGCCATTCACATTGGGGTTGACTTCATAGCCTATACATCTTGTGTAATGTGGATTAGGATTTCGAAGGCAGACCAGATTTGGGGACATCGTCGGGAACTAGAACCGATCGTCAGTGATACTGCCAATGTTTACAGCCAGAGATTAGGCCATGGTTAAGCTTTAAGAGTAGGACGATCACAGAGGAGTAATTTGATAATAGATCAGTGTATAGTGCATTCGGAAAGTATTCGGACCCCTTCACTTTTTACAAATTCTTTACGTTACAGCCTTATTCTAAAATGGATTAAATAGTTTTTTTTCCCTCATCAATCTCCACACAATACCCCATAATAACAAAGCAAAAACTGTTTTTTAGAAAACTGAAATATCACATTTTCATAAGTATTCAGACCCTTTAATTTGTTGAAGCACCTTTGGTAGTGATTACAGCATTGAGTCTTCTTCGGTATGACGCTACAAGCTTGGCACACCTGTATTTGGGGAGTTTCTCCCATTCTTCTCTTCAGATCATCTCAAGCTCTGTCAGGTTGGATGGGGAGTGTCTCTGCACAGCTATTTTCAGATCTCTCCAGGGATCGGGTTCAAGTCCAGGCACTGGATGGGCCACTCAAGGATATTCAGAGACTTGTCCCGAAGCCACTCCTGCGTTGTCTTGGCTGTGTGCTTAGGGTCGTTGACCTGTTGGAAGGTGAACCTTCGCCCCAGTCAGAGGTCCTGAGCACTCTGGAGCAGGTTTTCATCAAGGATCTTTCTGTACTTTGCTCCGTTCATCTTTCCCTTGATCCTGACTAGTCTTCCAGTCCCTGCCGCTGAAAAACATCCACACAGCATGATGCTGCCACCCCTATTCTTCACCGTAGGGATGATATTGGCCAGGTGATGAGCGGTGCCTGGTTTCCTCCACATATGACGCTTGGCATTCAGGCCAAAGAGTTCAGTCTTGGTTTCATCAGACCAGAGAATCTTGTTTCTCTATGGTCTGAGAGTCCTTTAGGTGCCTTTTGGAAAACTCCAAGAGGGCTGTCATGTGCCTTTTACTGAGGAGTGGCTTCCGTCTGGCCACTCTACCATAAAGGCCTGATTGGTGGAGTGCTGCAGAGATGGTTGTTCTTCTGGAAGGTTCTCCCATCTCCACAGAGGACCTCTGGAGCTTTGTCAGAGTTACCATTGGGTTCTTGGTCACCTCCCTGATCAAGGCCCTTCTCCCCCGATTGCCTAGTTTGGCAGGGTTGCCAGCTCTAGGAAGAGTCTTGGTGGTTCCAACCTTCTTCCAGTTAAGAATGATGGAGGCCACTGTGTTCTTGGGGACCTTCAATACTGCAAAAATGTTTTGGTACCCTTCCCCAGATCTGTGCCTCGACACAATCCTGTTTTGGAGCTCTACGGACAATTCCGTCGACCTCATGGCTTGGTTTTTGCTATGACATGCACTGTCAACTGTGGGACCTTATATAGACAGGCGTGTGCCTTTCCAAATCCTGTCCAATCAATTGAATATACCACAGGTGGACTCCAATCAAGTTGTAGAAACATCTCAAGGATGATCAATGGAAACAGGATGCATCTGAGCTCAATTTCGAGTCTCATAGCAAAGGGTCTGAATATTTACGTAATTATGGTATTTCTGTTTTTAATTTGTAATACATTTGCAACAAATTCTAAAAACCTGTTTTCGCTTTGGCTTTATGGGGTATTGTGTGTAGATTGATGAGGAAAAAAGTAATTTAATCCATTATAGAATAAGGCTGTAACAAATGTGGAAAAAGTGAAGGGGTCTGAATACTTTCTGAATGCACTGTATAGAAATCTTTTTCATGGGATTGAATTTACTGACAGAATACAATGAAGCTATCTTTAGGAGTCTCTCTGTTTTGGGTACTTTCGGGATTACATGGGCATGGCAGCAAAAGGAATGTTCTCTGGTCTCTTATAAATGCTACAGAAATGTTATAATTTTCTGGCACTAGAATTTCAAACACACACACACACACACACACACACACACACACACACTGTGCGAGTGATGTGGATGGAACTCTAACACATACTACATCTTCGAGATTTCATATGCTGTAGAACGTTCTGTTTTTGCATACCCAAACGGCCTACTATTTAGGACACAAGTCCGGGTATCCGGACACAGCCCCTCATTCTCGATGGTTGGTATTCACAACCGTTAGCAAGCCTTCTAATAGGTTTATGGAGGGTCAACTAATTTGGAGAGGGGGATCATAAAAGCCATTCCAAATGTCTTTCTCATTCCCAATTAAAGGGGTTGTAATGTCTGAGTCATTAGAGTCTACCTCCCAGAGACAGTTATAAGTCTAGGTCACACTAAGACGCTATCTCGTTTTCCTTCCCAAATAGACATGGGCGAACATCCATAGTGCACATGGGCATGGTACTGTATGTATGCCCTCGCCGAACACAACACAACACGCATGCACAAACACGCACAGTGGTTTAATGGTGGATGGTGTCTATGGTAGAGGAAGCGGTGCTCTCTGTATCTCCCAGCTACTGTTTATCTGTTTGAAGGCAACGCACTGTCACAGAGGGGTCTATTTAACATCCCCAATGTTGCACAATCTGACATACACTACAAGTCAAAAGTTTGGACTTTTTGGAAGTTTGGAATTTTTTTTACATTGTAGAATTATAGTGAAGACATCAGAACTATGAAAAAACTCATATGGAATCATGTAGTAACCAAAAAAGTGTTAAACAAATTAACATTTATTTTATATTTGAGATTCTTCAAAGTAGCCACCCTTTGCCTTGATGACAGCTTTGCACAGTCTTGACATTCTCTCAACCAGCTTCATGAGGTAGTCACCTGGAATGCATTTCAATTATCAGGTGTGCCTTCTTAAAAGTTAATTTGTGGAATTTCTTTCCTTAATGTGTGTGAGCCAATCAGTTGTGTTGTGACAAGGTAGGGGGGTATACAGAATATAGCCATATTTGGTAAAAGACCAAGTCCATATTATGGCAAGAACAGCTCAAATAAGCAAAGAGAAACGACAGTCCATCATTACTTTAAGACATGAAGGTCAGTCAATATGGAACATTTCAAGAACTTTGAACGTTTCTTCAAGTGCAGTCGCAAAACCCATCAAGCGCTATGATGAAACTGGCTCTCATGAGGACCGCCACAGGAATGGAAGACCCAGAGTTACCTCTGCTGCAGAGGATAAGTTCATTAGAGTTACCAGCCTTAGAAATTGCAGCCCAAATAAATGCTTCACAGAGTTCAAGTAACAGACATATCTCAACATCAACTGTTCAGAGGGAACTGTGTGAATCAGGCCTTCATTGTCGAATTGCTGCAAAGAAACCACTACTAAAGGACACCAATAAGAAGAAGAGACCTGCTTGGGCCAAGAAACACGAGCAATGGACATTAGACCGGTGGAAATGTGTCCTTTGGTCTGGAGTCCAAATTTGAGATTTTTGGTTCCAACCATTGTGTCCAACCACACTTAACCAGCATGGCTACCACAGCATTCTGCAGCGATACGCCATCCCATCTGGTTTGGGCTTAGTGGGACTATCATTTGTTTTTCAACAGGACAATGACCCAACACACCTCCAGACTGTGTAAGGGCTATTTTACCAAGAAGGAGAGTGATGGAGTGATGCATCAGATGACCTGGCCTCTACAATCCCCCGACCTCAACCCAATTGAGATGGCATGGGATAAGTCGGACAGCAGAGTGAAGGAAAAGCAGCCAAAGGAAAGTGCTCAGCATATGTGGGAACTCCTTCAAGATTGTTGGAAAATCATTCCAAGTGAAGCTGGTTGAGAGAATGCCAAGCGTGTGCAAAGCTGTCAAGGCAAAGGGTTGCTATTTGAAGAATCTGAAATCTCAAATATATTTTGATTTGTTCAACACTTTTTTGGATACTACATGATTCCATATGTGTTATTTCATAGTTTTTGATTTCTTCATTATTATTCTACAATGTAGAAAATAGTCAAAATAAAGAAAAAAACTTGAATGAGTAGGTGTGTCTAAACTTTTGACTGGTACTGGATATGGGATCTATATATACCTCAGTCACGTGAGATATATCATCCATCAACAATAGAAAGTAAAGGATATCATATTGTATTATATGTCATAATACTGTAAGCTGCGCTGTGTTTATTGAACATCAAGGAATACACAGGGTCACTATTTAGTCAAGTGATGTAAATAAATATAATTTATGATTTATTTTAAGTGTTTTTTGTTACACTTTCACTTTTACATTTCATTCTCAAATGAGACAACATTTAATGTTTTATGTAATTTGTCACGTTTTATGATTTGTGTTTTGAAGATCTGTTTCGCAACTCGTATGGTCAAGGGATTTTGGCAGCTGTTTCAATATGTGTTGTATGCTTGGTTTCACCATCACTCCTCTTTGGTTCTGCTTCATCAAAATCAATTCCTCTCCTCATCCTCAAAATGTGTTGCTTAGCTGTGATCCGATTAATCTCAATCCCTATGAATTCAGGCATAAACTTGAAGTGTTCCATATCCTGTTGATAGTACTCATCAGTTTCTAAATTGACTCTTTGATTGAAATGGACCTTAGCCCCCCTCAAGTTTGCCTTCCGTTACTGTATCTAACCTTAAGGGTGTTATACATAAACAAAATTAAACAATCTAGGGCATCAACTGTCACCAGTGATATTCACCTACATAAAAAAGACATCCTTGGTGTGCCACAACAAATCGGTTCGTGGGATGGATTTGGCTCGCAAGCCACGAGTTGCAGACTCCTATGGACTATCCTTCTGCTGCAGCATTTCTTTCTTTCTTTCTTTTTATGTTTTCTGTTTTCCTCACTGCGTCTCTCCTCCCCAGCTGGTCGGTGAGCAGCAAGAGAGCCGCCCGCTGCTGAGCCCCTCCATCGATGACTTCCTGTCAGAGAGCCGCATCGATGGTCCCGTGGTCCGGCCGGTCACCTCCAACACAGCAGGTAGCCCTCTCTCATTACCCACAACTCATTAACGCCCTCATCTGCTCCTCCTCTCTTTCTCTGTCAGCTAGTCCCAATTTGTTCCCTGCCGCACCCTTCCCCTAGGCAAGTGTTTCCCAAACCTCTCCTCGAGGGCCCCCAGCCAGTTCCACTTGAAGTATTCCAGTACAAGCACACCTGAATCAATGGCAAAGGTTCATGAAGATGCCGGAATTCAGATACGACGTCATTGTTTCAGTACTATCCAAAGAGTTTTTAAACAACGGCACATGACATGGTTCAATATACCAATAAATCGCAAACAATCTTCCCATTGGCAGTCGTCTCAAAGCTAAAATTGGGATAATGTACAGTGCCTTCAGAAAGTATATACACCACTAGATTTTTTCCCCACATTTTGTTGTGTTACAGCCTGAATTTAAAATGGATTAAATTGTGAGGGGTTTTCAGTGGCCCACACACAATACCCCATAATGTCGAAGTGGAATTGTGTTTTTTGAAATTTACAGAAGTTAATAAAAAATGTAAAGCTGAAAATTATTGAATTAATAAGTATTCAACCCCTTTGTTAAGGCAAGCTTAATTAAGTTCAGGATAAAAAATGTGCTTAACAAGTCACATAATAAGTTGCATGGTGCAATAATAGTGGTTAACATGATTTTGAATGACTACCTCATCTCTGTACCCCACACATACAATTATCTGGAAGGTCCCTCAGTCGAGCAGTGAATATCTAACTCAGATTCAACCACAAAGACCAGGGAGGTTTTCCAATGCCTTGCAAAGAAGGGCACCTATTGATAGATGGGTAAAAAAATTAAAGCTGACATTGCATATCCCTTTGAGCATGGTAAAGTTATTATTTACACTTTGGATGGTGTATCAATACACTCAATCACTATAAAGATACAGGTGTCTTTCATAACTCCGTTGCCGGAGAGGAAGGAAACCGCTCAGGGATTTCATCATGAGGCCAATGGTGACTTTAATACAGTTACAGAGTTTAATGGCTGTGATAGGGGAAAACTGAGGATGGATCAACAACATTGTAATTACACCACAATACTAACCTAATTGACAGAGTGAAAAGAAAGAAGCTTGTAAGAATAAAAAATATTCCAAAACATGCATCCTGTTTTTTTTACCCAGTAAGTTGACTGAACACATTCTCATTTACAACAACAACCTGGGGAATAGTTACAGTGCAGAGGGGGATGAATGAGCCAATTGGAAGCTGGGGATGATTAGGTGGCATGAGGGCCAGATTGGGAATTTAGACAGGACACCAGTGTTAACACCCCTACTGATAACTGCCATGGGATCTTTAGTGACCACAGAGAGTCAGGACACCCGTTTAATGAAAGACAACACCCTACACAAGGCCAATCACTGCCCTGGGGTATTGGGATCTTTTTTTTAGACCAGAGGAAAGAGTGCCTCCTACTGGCCCTCCAACACCACTTCCAGCAGCATCTGGTCTCCCATCCAGGGACCGACCAGGACCAACCCTGCTTAGCTTCAGAGGCAATCCAACAGTGGGATGCAGGGTGGTATGCTGCTGTTTGCAACAAAGCACTAAAGTAATGCTGCAAAAAATGTGGCAAAGCAATTAACTTTCTGTCCTGAATAGAAAGTGTTTTGTTTGGGGCAAATCCAATACAACACATTACTGAGTACCACTCTCCATATTTTCAAGCATAGTGGTGGCTGCATCATGTTATGGGTATGCTTGTAATCATTAAGGCCTGGGGAGTTTTTCAGCATAAAAAATAAATGGAATGGAGCTAAGCAAAGGCAAAATCCTAGAGGAAAACTTGGTTCAGTCTGCTTTCCACCAGACACTGGGAGATTAATTCAACTTTCAGAAGGACAATAACCTAAAACACAATGCCAAATCTACACTGGAGTTGCTTACCAAGAAGACAGTGAATGTTCCGGAGTTACTCAGTTTTGACTTAAATCTGCTTGAAAATCTATGGCAAGACTTGACTTGTCTAGCAATGATCAACAACCAATTTTACAGAGCTTAAATATTTTTGAGAAGAATAATGGGCAAATATTGTACAATCCAGGTGTGCAAAGCTCTTAGAGATTTACCCAGAAAGGTGTGAATACTTATGTAAATGAGATATTTCTATATTTCATTTTCAATACATTTGCAAACATTACAAAACATGTTTTCACCTTGTCATTATGGGGTATTGTGTGTAGATGGGTGAGAAAAAAATGCATTTTAAATTCAGGCTGTAACACAACAAAATGAGGAATAAGTCAAGGGGTATGAATACTTTCTAATGTGCTATACTGAATACTGTGCTAATGATACAAAATACAGTAACGGAAAGCCACGTACAATACAGCGAACTTAGCAAACAAGGCATTTGTGGTATGTGCATGGGGGCTGGCAATTTTATGAACCTCCCTGTAGGTGCTCTACAAACTACCTACAGACTATCAGCATTTCAACAGCATGTCTTTAGCCTCTCAGTAGCATCTCAACAGTATATATCATCATTTTCAACCAGGTAGTCTATAGTCCTTCTATAGATGCTCAACAAACCATCTGTAGACTATCAGCAGCATTTCAACAGCATATCTGTAGCCTGCCTGTCAGTAATATTTCAAAAGTAAAACCCCTCACTTGCACAAATGCCAAGCCCATCTCTAGATGATCAACAAACAATCAGGAGACTATCAGCAGCATCTCAATTGCATATCAGTTACAACTTAACAGCATATCTGTTGTCATTCTAGTAGCGATCTGTAGATATGCTTTGGGACTATCCGAATAAAGTTCAACACAAGTTGAGCTTAGTTGACAGTCTACAGACTATCTACTTCACATTCAAATATGTATCAACTGATGTTCAGTGCATTCACTTACACTCTAGTAACCCTCTGTAGATATGCATTGGGATAAATAAAGTGAAAGACTATTTCATTAAGTTAATATGCTATAACCACACAACACATCCAAATGTGCAACTGTTGTGTTGGGATGACTGAAATTACCTTTTGACACTGGAGCACCTTGGGAAACAAACAAACAATCACTATGCTTAAACTTGTCTTTCCTAGTTAGTGATAAAGAAACGTACCAGAGGCATAATGTTAAAATCAATCTTTTAATTAACAAAAATCACAACATTGTCTACAACATTTTTGGCCTAATGGCTAAAGGCTGCCAGTGGAAATGTCGGGCCGTTGCCCGAGGAGAGAGTGAGTGAGAGACATTGCAGCACCAAGTTAGTTTAATTCAACCAACACAAAGTTTCAGTAAACCGTGCAACACTACTGTAAATGTGCCCCTGAAAGTATGTGCCTCCACCATACACTGAGGGCATGTGTAGGCTAAAGTATTGTTGCACGGTATATCAAAACTTCAGTAGTATCACAATACCAGCATTTGACAATGTTCAATATAATATTTTTTTTAGGACCGGTAGTATCGAATGTAATAAGGTTCTGTTGTCCTGCAACAAGGAAAACATGTTTGTCCTCTTATCTTAGGGTAGTAGTTCACCTTTCTCTTCATCTCTGTGACATTTACTTGAATATCACCCACCATATCTTCTGTGCATAATGTTGCCAGATCTGCGAGTTGTTCACAGAAAGGCAACACCTCTCTGTTTACTATGAAAAGCTCATCAACAGGAGCGGTGGTGGCAACAGTGTTCCTGGACACACCCGCCTTTCGGAAAGCCGAGGTCATAGTGTAGCCCTTCTTCGTCAGGTTCAGCAGCCTCTGGTATCTGGTGACAACGTCTTTGATGTTGCCTGCTAAAGAAATACAAAAGCAGAATACAAAAGCAATGTTAATTTTCCATGTCATCTCTGCTCTGCTACAATGTTTCAGTATGTGCTACTGCTCCTCGCATGCAAAAGCAATGCAGACGACTCATTGTGTTTGGTGGCTTATCCTGGACTAATGAGTTGCTGAATGTGGGCGAATCGTCAGTGGGAGATTGTGCTAGAAACCTGAAGATTTTTGTCTTGTTGGTATTCTATGTACTGACAGAAGGAATTTAAGTAAGAATCCATAACATAGTTCCTCATTTGGAATAATGTCACCTACCTTCTGTTTCGGCAGTCATCTCGCTCAGTTGCTGCTCAAGAAATGCTCTATCAGCCTCCAGGTCTTCCACTCGAGCCTGGAGGATCTCTGCTTTAATCTTCCATTGAACCAATTTCTGGTTCATCTGCATAATTTTTTCACTTGAACTCCAACAACATGAAAGAACATATAAAAATATATCTTATATTGTAACATGCGTTACCAAGAAAGCATAACGTGAAAGTGAAATGAAACGTTGCCCCTAAAATAAATGAAATGATGAATATATGAAAATGATATGTTGATGTACAGTATGTACATGGCCAAGACTATTTTAACACACTGTGTTGTGATTATAATGGCCTATTATGCAGTAGGGTGTCCAACACACTTGGCATGCCATCTTGAATTGACTTTAGGCCCATTCTGAGAGAGAGCCGGGGCTAGCTCGATTCAATCAGGAGAGACGCTGGTTGGAGCTAGAGACCGGACAGTTGACAGCTGGTTTGTGCATCGACATTGTCCGATTCAGATTGGAAAGCAACAGGTTTTTGAGTGTTGACGTGGGGGGTGTTTGACCAACACTGGGCTGTGACTGGAGCAGAGATGGATGGAAAGGTAGGGGGGTTAGAAGTTGAGGAGGATGGGATGGAGTGGAGCGGTGGAGGGGGGAAAGGGTGGAGGAAGAGTAGTGCGAGTAGATATGAAAAAGAGGAAGACCGAGGATCTTTTGCAGGTCTCGTCAGGGGAGAGTAGTGATGAGGGAGGTTCGGTTCGCAGTGTTGTATGGAGAGAAGTGGAGTTCAAGGTGTTGGGGAAGTTTAAGGACAAGAGTGGAGTCACGGCGGGGAGTCCGATCGCATTGGCTAGTGACTTGTAGAGTAAAGTAAGAGAGGTTGTGTCTGCTAAAAGTCTTTGATGGAAGTTTGGTGGTGGTGCGTATCAATGCTAAACAGCATGAGAAGGCTCTCAAACTCA